CTGCCGACATGCATGGCGAGACGGTGAAGGAAATCGCTAAACACTCCGCCCTTCAAAGGTATATTAACTTTCAAATTTCTCAAGATAACTCGCATGCTACGATGAATGTTGATACCGATAAGTCACTTAGTGTGAGTAGTGCTGAGGGTCAGTCATTTAATCTGAATGCTGTTAAGGATAGGTCATTTGATATGGTTGTTTCTAAGGATAGGTCACTTGATGTGGTTATTGCTAAGGATAAATCACCTAGAGTGAATACCGCTGAAGATGAGTTTGTCTGGCCTTGGATGGTAGTTCTGGCAAACAATGTTACCAAATTTGACTCGAAATGTGGGAAGTATATAGGAAAGAGTCATAAGAAAATTAAGGAGGAACTGTATGCTAAAGGGTTTCAGCCGCTGAAAGTTATCGCGCTGTGGAATAATAGAGGGCAAACACCGTTTGTGATTGTTGCATTTGGAAAAGAATGGGATGGTTTCAACAATGCTTTGAAGCTAGAAAGAAGCTTTGAAGCAAAACAGTGTGGTAAAAGAGATTACGTGGGTTTAAGGGAGCTAGGAGACAAACTCTTTGGGTGGATGGCACGTAGAGATGATTATAATTTCAGGGATATTGTGGGCAAACACCTCCGGGAAAATGGGGATTTGAAAACTGTTTCTGGAAAAGAAGCTGAGGATAATAGGAAGGCGTTGAAGCTTGTATCTGGTTTGGCTAACACTCTAAAGCAGAAGAACATGGAATTGGAACAAACAGCGAGCAAGTATGATGAGGCTAACGTGTTCTTAAACAGAGTGATGAATCAAAAAGAGGAGCTGCTTGAACATTTTAACAAAGGTATGTTGATACTTACAGTGGATTATTCGAATTAATATGAGTATTATGTTTCACTATGTTTAGAGGTGAAGCACTTGGTTTCTGTTGTTATATTTATCCTTTCAGTATTGCTTATGGTCTGATGTATATTGGATGTTGATATGCTTTTTTAATATTTCATTAGCTGAGTTTGTTTCACTCTGTTTCATTAGAAATAAGCAAGATGCAGAATGCCGAACGCAGTTATCTAGAAAGTGTGTCCAAGGATCATGAAAAAACCATGCTGGAATTGGAGGCTCGGAGAAAGGAACTTTCGTCCCTTGAAGAGAATCTGCAAAAGCGTCAAGCAGATAATCATAATGAGAGAAATAAGCTATATCTTGAGAAGAAAAATGTAATTTACTTTTAAAAACTCTCTGTAGCACACTTTTTCTAATAGGTCTATTTCTTAAAATTTTAACACAATTCCTTGAAAGTGATCAATTTACAAGAGAACTAAATTGACCTCTTCAAAAAATGGACCAACCACAAAAAGTGTTGTTATCATTCCTTAATATATCGACGATTTAGTCAAATCACATACACCAATCCTTCTTATTTTAACTTTAGACTGGTTAAATCTGTTTTTCATCTTGTTGTTTACAGAATGAGATGGCCATAGCAGAGCAACAAAAGGCTGACGACAAAATGATGCGTTTGGCTGAAGAACATCAGGCACAAATTTCATTTTCCTTTTATCTGCATTATTTAATTAAGTTACATGTATGCACTGTAGTTTTGAGGACTCTTTTGGTTGGATGTTGCAGAAAGAGAAAGACAAACTTCACAAGAAAATCCATGACCTAGAGAGAGGACTTGATGCAAAGCAAGCATTGGAATTGGAAGTTGAACGACTGAGAGGAGCTTTCCATGTAATGAATCACATTGGAGAGACTGATCTGGAAGAGAAGAAAAAACTGGAGGCGATCAAAATGAATCTGCGTGAAAAGGAAGAGCAACTGGAAGGGGTGGAAGATCTTCAACAAACATTGGTTATTCAGGAGCGCAAAACTAATGACGAGTTGCAAGATGCCCGCAAAAAATTAATCAGTGTATGTTTCTTTCTCAGCATATAGATGTTAATATTATGATTTTAATGTCTTTTGTCCAACAACATAACTAAAGGTCTGAAAATCAACTCTATAATCAATGTCTTTTGTAAGTAATCTCATACAAAATCATGATAAATTGTTTTATTTTTATGAATGACCTAGTAAAACTTAAGAAGAAATGTTGGGTTAATTATATTTTTTAATTGGCATACAGCTGTTTATATAATACTTGTAGAAGAGTGTCCTGTTTTGTAAACATTCAAATCATATAGTTGAAGTCTTATTTAGGTTGCTTGGAAGACAATGACTTGTTTACATGTACTAACAACGGACAATGCAAAATGTTTGGTGTTTTAACCTTAGTTTCTCTATCCAAGGAATTGCAAATTTTCAACGTATTGTCCTATTTTGTGAATCATGAGTGGTTCCTTGTTTCAAACGTCTTTTTGCTATCTAGTTGTTTGAGGCCAAAGATGATGATTTTAATTCATACTCTATTGCATTTTTGGTAAAAATTGGTAGAATCAGATCAGGTCTGTGAAAGAACGGAATTTTTTGTAATCTGATTAGTTTTGTTCATGTAATCTGATTTCCTTGTTCAAAGTGGATTGGCTGCCCAAAGAACACTTCTCGAACCATAATTTCTGTGAAAAGGATGGGGGACCTTGATATTAAGCCGTTTAAGGAAGCATCCAAAAGAAAGTTTCCGGCTGTAGGGAACGGGAAAGCAGCTCAGAAAAAACTTGACGAAGAAAGGGATATGAAAGCACTTGAGTGGTGTTCGCAGTGGGATGAATATGTTAGAGATCCAAGCTGGCATCCATTCAAAATTGTAACTGACAAAGAAGGGAATTCCAAGGTATAATGACTTCTAGAATTATGTTTGATCAACTTAAAGTTAATCTTTCCTTTCTCTCAATTTTGAGGATGATTCTACAACTCAAACTTGTGACTGTAACTTCAACATTTGTACAAAGTGTTGAAATTCTAAAACCTTGAGAGTTAGTTGCTACTCAAAACAGATTCATTTCATTCTATAAGATTACACTGATTGATCAGTACAAAGCGTGATATGCATGCTGTTAGTAGTGTTATAAAATTGCAGCCATAGCGGCGGTATACTCTGCTATAATGTAGTGGAATTTGGGCAGACTGTCACTGTTCCAGGATCTCTAATTTAGTACAAAATGTTGTCAAATAGCTGCTATAGTGGTGCTGTAACACTACTGCATAGTGTAATTTTAAGAATCCTCTATTTTCTGTTTTCCGCGATTTGACAACATTCTGGCATTGTTTAGCAATATATCTATTTGACAACATTGTGGCATTGTTTAGCGATATATCTATTTAAAGAAAATGGCCGTCATATAGATGTTGGCACTTATTTGGGACGTTCCTTTTCATGATGCAAACAGCATAGACCATGATTCCAATATATGTTTTATATATTGTGCAGGAAATATTAGATGAAACTGATGAAAAGCTGAAAAGTTTGAGGAATGAACTGGGAAATGAGGTGCATGATGCAGTAGCTACAGCTCTGAAGGAATTAAATGAATACAATCCTAGTGGCAGATATCCAGTACCTGAACTCTGGAATTTTAGGGAAGGAAGGAAGGCTTCGTTGAAAGAGGGTGTTGCCTATTTAATGAGGCAATGGAAGTTGGCAAAGCAAAAGAAAGCTTGAGGCTTCATGTGGGCAGTAAGACTTAAAATTAGACTTACATGCAGAAAAAGTTTACTGCGTACTGAATAGTCATTTGTGTCCCTTATTTAGTTGGTTTTAAACTTTTATCTTGAAACATGCATTTAAAGTTCAGTTGGAATCGTACATGCCTTAGAAACAAAGCATTATACTTTCTATTTAGCTAGAACCCTTTCTAAACAATTAGCATCAAGTGTTATGTATATCTTTTTACGGTAATATCTTAAACATATTTTGCATGATTTTAGGCATTTAGTGCGGAATATAGCAAAGCTAGAATTTTTCACAGTAGTTTTTCAAATGCTGCAATTTATGTCCATAATTTGCGTAAGTTTAGATTTATGAGGGTCTATAGTATCCATTTAGGCAAGGCTCTTGTCCATCCACTTGTTGTAAAGTAAATCTTTATACACTCTTGGATGGACCTGCTGCTCTCAAGTTATATTCCTAAGCCCTGTAAAAAATATTGATTTTGAATATAATTTTTTACTAGAATTGAGTTGGAATAAAATAAATACTCATTCTATTATGGACTGGAATGAAATGAAATAAAATAAATACTTTTTACCAATAGTCATTTAAATAATATAACCATGCAGCCTAACATTGGGTTAAAATTAATAGTTGTTACCTAAAACACCAAACCGGGTTGGATGTTGTTATTTCTAATTTAACTTTTCAAATTGTTAGCAGGTAATCCAAACTATTTGTTGAATTGCATCCATAAATTTGTGGGTAGTTGTAGTTGAAGCGTATTAAGATTGATACCAAAGCAAATTTGTTAGAAATACAGTTAGCTACATTCTGCAGCTTCTGCAAACATCATACAACTACATCCCCAACCAAAGGGTAAAAGTGGAATAAAAAACAAGAGAACCATTTTTCCAATTTGAACTTTCATAACAAAAAACACACTTCAACAGTTACATAAATCATTCTAGATATATCAGCAACATATAAATTGTATAACTAATTAGCTGCGGGCTACTACCATTTTTTGCTTAGCCACTTCAGCATTCTTCCTACACTTTTTTTAATCCTCTCCATATAACTCTACCCTAATCTCTTCATTTTTCATATAAATAAAAAACACAACCTTCCCACCCCCAATACAACAAAAAACAAAACTCAAAAAGTCTCACTGCACACATCTCTATAATAACCTTTCCTCCCAATCCGTCACAGTCTTCAAAACATCCAGTCAAAAAGAGCACCAATCTACTGTAAAATGCGCGCCAAATACACAATTGGTGGAAAACAAAAACAAAACAACAACAAAAAAACCAAGTTGTAGTAGTAGTACTCTTGTCACATCATATATTGAAAAATAAAATAACAATGTGAACTTTGACCGGTAACAACCGGTAACCTGTATCCACTACTAGTACTCGTCAAACACGGAAATTCTTCCCGGTGAAAGTTTGACCAAATTGCCAATTTTGTGGAGCAATGTTCCACGAAGTGGAAGTGCGACGGTCACTACCCGTAACTCTAAAAGACAAAGCCTGACCCACCAAAACAGAATTTGATTGCCAGTTTTGCCCCCAGTTTCTACTCATCGGCATCCACCCGGTTCTCGTTCCTTTAACATAGGTCCTCACAATATCCCCTGCACCCGCGACGTTGCTGATTAGCACTAAGTTAAAGTAACGGAATCCATTAATTGTGAACCGAATCCCACCGCTCTTCCTACACGGCACCCTACGATAAGCTACAGGAACAATCCCGGCGCGGTATTCGGCGATTTTAAGGAACATAGGCATGGCGAGGTCGAAGTGAGGACGAGGAGGGTTACACCAACCGCCGTTGTCGCTGGCTTGAGCGAAGTTAGGAGGACAGAAATTAGTGGCAGTGATGAAAATGGAAGGGCTGCCGGAGTGACACCACTGTTTGTCGTTTGCACATTTCAATTCGAAACAAGAACCGCAACTGAGTCCGCTGTTGAAAAGTGCTGTGCTTAATGCTGCAGTGTTGACTCCGTAACCTTGGCTATATAAGTTTCCATAACCACATGCTCCTCCTAAATAGTAACAAACAACAACATTAATTAATTATTAGTTAAAAACATTAGTTAGAAACATGATACAAGTACTATGTTTTTGTGTTACATTATGGTATAATATAATATAACATACCCATGGTGCCGGAAGCATCGGAACCACCATAGAAAGTGGCGTGAGCGGTTTCCCAAGCACCACCGTTGTAAACACCTGGGATACGAGACTCTACCGTCCACATTGTTAATGACATAACAAGAGATGCAATGTACGCGACATGATTCATAGTAACCATTTGTGTTTTTTTGTTTAGTTTAGTTTCTTTTTTGACAGTGGGGAAGAAGAAAATTGAGAAAAAGGAGAGAGAGATTTGTGGTGGGACGAGTGTTGTGGTGGGATAGTTGGGGGTACTTATGGAGAATGCTTGGTTTGAACTGTACAAAGGAAGGGGTAAAATTGGAAATTCAAAAAACTGTTTCCTTGAAAATTTTAAATTACAGATTTTATATTTTAGTGTAAATCGTAAAATGCAATAATTAAAGTGACTGCATTGTCGAGCCCCGTGTAAATCACTTTCCAATTTCAAATACATTCACATGTGGTGTGAATTCATTTTTGGATGCAAAATTAAATCATATAACAAGTTTATTTTTTCCGATTCTTGGTAGGTTGGTAAAATTAACAGAACTCGAAGTAGGCGAATAAAGTATTTTTTGTTCAAATGGCGTGATATGCGGTGTGATTAGAGTATTGTTTAATGGTACTGCTAACTACTCATAATACTTGAGTTAAAAAAAAACAAGAAAGTAATAATCTGTGATGTAAAGTGGTGCGACAGTCAATCGTCAACGACAAAGAAGAATGACAATACAAATGTGTACTATGTACGAATCTTATGTGACTAAAATCACGATACTAGTTGTAATGTGGATAGAAATTGTTATGCAGACATTACTTTTTGTAATTATCCGTACTATTGAATTTGCGATTTTGTTTGAGTGTGAATATTTATGTGGTAATCAATGTGAAAATTTAGGGGCTAGTTTATTAGTTAATGTGCAAATTTATTAATCAATGTTAAAGTTGTTTATTTTGTATTTTAATTTATTATTTAGGGTAAAATCATCAATGGTACTCTTAGAGTGGTTCTTATTACCTCTTTCCTTAACCATTATAATCATGTGTTTAGGGTCTGTTTAGTGGATTAATGGTGTTAGCAAGTTTTATTAGATTAATTTAAATAATTTTTGTTGTTTTAGTTTAATTTGTGTAGAGTATAATATGTGCTCTCTTTTGTGAGTTTTATGTGTTTGTCACTTATGTAGGAATGTTTAAATGATAAGTCCTGACATGACAAAATTGGAACATCAATTCAACCTTACTTTTTATGAGACTTCAAAGATATAAGAAGTTAAAAGGAGTGAAGTGTCTCAATATCCGGGCAAACGTAACAATAATGTGAAAAATAGAGTATAAGCAACATGAAAAATCAGATGGATAAGATCAAACACTGCAAGACAAAAAAAAATGCAAAAGTTGTTACACCTTGAATTTCTCGCGTTGTTTGTCTGTATACTAAGCAGACATGTCATAGGACATGTTGTTCCCTGCACATTGGAGTTGTACTACCTGACGCTGATTCGAGGGGAAAAAGAATGAATATGTTGATTTCCTTGGGCTAAAACAATGAATATTCACAAGGCTCGTGATCCAATAATAAGTTAATAACCTTAAAATTTAGAGGATATAACAGGAGCCTCTAGGAAGAAATAAAAAGAAGTTCAAAAATTAAGAGACTTGAAAAATCACAAAGAAAAACATCTTGTTGAAGAAGAAGAAGTCTAAACTAGTATGAAAGATTTCTTTTCATTCATCATCCATTGAAGAAGTGTTGAGCTTCCTAGCATGTCAGAACTTGCCTCTTGTTGATTGAAAAATTGCATTAAGTAAACTATCATACTTAGGTTTACATTTTCTTTTTATTTTGTGTTTAGAAATGTTACCTGCAAGAACTTATGTTGTTATATTTCTTCTACTCGCCATGAGTTAAACCTTTTTATGTTGAGCAATGTGAAGTTTAAATGAATCGTAGTATTTTGTGTTAAATGGTGTGATTTAAAGTGATTAAGTTTACTATGTGAAATAATGTTATACATCAGTTTCTTTGATTGATCACTTTAGAAATAAATAAAAGTTGTTTAGCGATTGAGAGACCTAATGACTAATGAAACACATAAGTAAATATGTTTGAAAATAGTAGGATATACATATTCTCTAGATTAGTCACTTTAGAGATAAATAACTACAACCATATGAAAAATCAAAAGTTAAATAAGACATGCTTAAATTATATTGTGAGACCTCGATAGTTATTTTCTTGACTTAATGCATATGTTTTGATGTTGTAGACATACACCACTAGATCACTTTCTTCCCCATATGTCACAATAGATCTCATCTGACACATACAAGGTATGAAATTCTTTAAATGGATCATTGTCTAACATGCCTCTTCTAACACCTCATTTTTCTAATTTATTTGTTCGATTAATATTGTGTGTATTTAATTAATTAAAGTGATTTATATTTGCATTGGGTGATGTTTGGATGGCTAGTAATGTTTTGGGTTGGTAGATCATAGTTTAGTTATTTAAATAATAAAAGAATTAATAATGTTAGAATAATGAAAATTTTAATTATGAAATAATTAGGAGGAAATTATTTTAATTAGGGAGAATATTAATATTATTTTAGTAGAATAAAATTAGAGTCAATAGGGACATGGTGGTAAATAAGAGGATAAGTGAGGACAATGTTGAAAGTCTCTAAATGAGGGAGGTTAGGTTACTAATAAAGAGAAGTTAGTAAGAGTTTGAGGTTAGAACGTGAAAATCATAATTTTGGTGAAAAGAGGAGGAGACAGAGGCTAGGGTATAGGAAGAACTTCCATTGGAGAACCTTAAGGAATTTTTGCTGGAAAATCAAGGTAGGGGGAATTACTCTTAATATTGATATAGATTGCATGTTGGGTAGAGGCAAATTCTTAATCCCATTAGTTTTTTCTTTACTTTTTCCCCTTTTTGATGAATGACTGATGAACATGAAATCAATTTTGGAATTGCATGATTATGTGTGTTGCTATATGACTTTCGTGCACTATTTTACCATGAATTTTGTGTGTTCATGTTCATGATGATTGTATGTGTGAGTGTTCATATGTGAATGGTGAACTTGATGAATAAAGTATGCAAATCCATGACTAAATGAATGAAATTGCATGTTAATTGGTAGATATCATACTCCTTGTTGTTGTTGTTGTTCGATTAAGGGTACGAGTGTGTTTAATGTAAGATTTGGTAAACAAAGACAGGTTTGATTTCACTTAAGGGATTGAACTCGAAAAGATCACAGAATATATTGTGCAAAAATTATGGGGTGAGATGGTAATATCAGTGAGTTCTCATATCTTATGGGTTCACTCGACTCTACAATGTTCTAGTCAATTCCTAACTCAAGTAAAAAAGGAATGAGATAAAACTTGAGTTCACACAGTTCGCAATGTATGGAAACACGTATCTTAAGTTTACCAACTCAAACAATCACTAGCTCGGAAACCATACCAAGACATCCTCTTTTTTTGTCCTCTTCTACATCTAGGACTTTCGGCATGGATCATGGATCCTTGTATCATACTTCAACTTTCTTGAACACTGCAAGCTCTTCTATGGGACTCTAACCCATTTAATTAAGCATATAGGACTCTAACCCATTTAATTGAGCATATGAGACTCTAACCAACTTGGTTGAACATATGGACTCTAACCCACTTGTTTGCACTATGGAACTATAACCATTTGGTTGAATATATGGGAATCAAGCCCACTTGGTTGATTCGAAGTATTGGTGCCTTCATCCCAATCTTACCCTATATAGGTATCATGACTTGAGACGGCACAAACAAGGGTTGTTTCCGACTACGTGATAAAATAACACAATTGTGATTATATTCGACAATCACAAGGTAACCATATTCACCTTAATCACAAAGCAACACACTAACTACACATGTTCCATACAAAGCTCTCCTCATACTAAACAACTACTTGCTAACGATACACACCTAAGCATTGCGCAAGAATTGTCATCTATATTATTCATCATGTCCTATTCACTTTGCTAATTCATTTCATTAATTAATCTCAAGGTTTTCTCACCATTCTTTGTAGTCTTTTAATCATGTTATCACACCACCAACACAATAACAATATATATATATATATATATATATATATATATATATATATATATATATATATATATATATAGAGAGAGAGAGAGAGAGAGAGAGAGGGAAAGAGTATAATTCATAAACATGTACAATGTTATTCGCTACCAAGAATCCTCGATTAATCCATAATCTCACAATAGCTAGGTCTTTCGGAGCCAAGCCCCTCACCAAATAGGACTTTCTGAACCAAGGTACCTTAGCAAAATATCAAACCACTTACGTGGTGCTTATTACAATACTAGGTGTTCATCATCATTTGTTCACATATTAATCCACATCAATTCAATTAAGTACTGATCAATCAAGCAAACATCTATTTCCATATTTCCACTTGTTATCAATGCATATATATCATGGCAAGTTATTAAAAATGTATTATAACATTATTGGAAGCATGAAACAATTAAGACAATAAATTAAAGAAAGACCATCAATTAGTTTTCAATATCAATCAACTTGGTTTTTAAGAACAAACCACTTGATTTAAGAGATTTTATCATGTAGAGGCAGTAAGTCATTGACATCTCAAAGCTAGTCGCTCGATTCACATGAAAAGTTGCATTTTTAGGAAAATAGAAGACATTAATCAATTTGCATAAAAAAAGCTTCAGGGACCAATCGATTTGCACCTGCTATTTTCATGAAAACTCACTTATAAACTCCTCTATTACCACTTACAAAGCCATGAACTTCTTTAACAACAATCACGGAACCCAAACCATCAATTCAACATGTTTATACTCACAACCACGTGAATTCACCATTTCATTACTTACTATAAAAATCACAACTGAAATGCAACAACCACAACATTTGATGCAATTTCCACAAAACCCTAACCAACCAATGTTCTTATATCCCCCCCCCCCCCCATGCTATACTAACTAATGAAACTCACTTTTCAATGGATGATATAAGATGGATTGATGATGATTAATTCCTCTTCTTCCTTTTTCATGAGTTTCTTCTCCTTTTTCCCTTTCTTTTTTCTTCTTTCTCTCTTCTTT